TTAGTGGTGAGGTTACAGGTGTGCGCCTCCATGCCCAACTTAATGTGCTTTTAGAATGTCACATGCAGAATTTTAGTTCTATTAAATTCTTACTTATTTTGGCATGGATATAAACAGGCCTATCCTGTTCCCCAAAAATCAAAGTACAGGAGTCCTTTGTCAGTCATTACCAGATCCTCGTTTCTGTCCACAGACCTTCTTTTGTTCTTCTTAAGTATTGTGCAATACATTTAAAAAAAAAAAACAAAACTCTTTAGTACCTGTTTTTAGTTAACTATATGTGCCAAGTGTAATTAATCACACTTGTGCAATTATTGCTTCTGAGGGTTCTGAGTTTTCCATCAAAGTTGGAAAGTCTTTTCTTTGTCCTTACACTGGTGATTCCTGGTGAAAAACACCAAATATTGTCTTTGGTTGGTAAACTGTTGGCCTTTGTTGGCAGGTGAAAGAACATCAACATGAAGAAATTCAGAATGTCCGAAATCACATTCACTCATGTTTCTCCGATGTCACCTGTTTTCTCTTACCACATCCAGGACTCCAAGTAGCCACAAGCCCTGACTTTGATGGAAAATTGAAAGGTGTGTTGTAGATGTTGTTATTCCAAACATGTGACTTGGTGTGTGGAATTTAATAACCAGTAAATGTCAATTAAGAATCAAGTAGGGGGCCTGGCCCTAGCTCAGTCTTTAAGTGGCTGCTTCCACAAAGCTGTCAGCCTCAGGTTCCTGGAGTTCGAACCTCACAACTCTCCCGCTGGCCAAAAGTGCCCTGAAGGCATTCGAGGAAGGAAAAAAAAAAAAACCAAAAACCCTTATTCCAAGAATCAAGTAAATTTTACCAGATGTGGTGGTGCACATATGTAATCTTAGTATGTGGGAGGATGAGGCACTTAGTTCAGAGCCAGCTTAGGCTACATAGTAAGTTCAGGGCTAGCCTGGAGTACACCATGAGACTCTGTGTTAAAAAAAAGGGGGGGGGGTGGTTGGGGAGGTAGCTCGGCAGCCTAAGCACCTGCTTGACAAGTGCAAGGACCTGGGTTTGGATCCCCAGTATCAGATGGTGTGCCAGCCCAGGAACTCTGAGTGTACCTGGCCAGCCAATGAAACCGGGTGTGGTGGCACACACCTGTAATTCCAGAACTGGGGAGGCTGAGATAGGAAGATCACTACAAATCCAAGCTGTGTAGCAAGACCCCGTACAAAATATATAAACAAACAAATGATTAAAAAATAAAAAAAATGAATGCTTAAGAGATAAGCTACCATAGCATGATAGAAAGATTACTTTAGAATTTAGTTTACATTTTGCTGCTTTCTGTGACCATCAGAATTAGCTTATGTCTGTTTCTTTATCTGAAATTATGGTGGTTATATCCTTCAATGGTATCTTTCTTCCTCTCTCCCGGACTTTCTTTCCTCCCTCCCTGCCTGTTTTTTTTTTTTTTTTGAGATGAGAGTCATCCTATGTATTTCAGGCTGGCCTTGAACTCACTGTGTAATCTGGGTGGACCAGACTGCATGTGTTCATTTCAGGAAGAGTTGTCTAGATGTGTAGTGTATTGGAGGAAACAGAGTTGGGACCCTTGAGTTCCATTATCTTATTTCTGTTCTTTATTCATCCAGGCTTCAGTTTAGGCAAGTGCTTTGTATATAAGCTTACCCAAACTTCTCACATTTCTTGTAAAGTGTGGTAATAGCAGCTGCCACTTTGGGAGGCCCTGGTGAGTTCCCAGCACTGTTCAGGGTGCTTTCATACCTAGACTTCCAGTAATTCCATGGGGTTAGTATCGTTTCTTTTATTGTTTCCTCATTACAGATGAGGAAATTGGTAAAAATGAAGAAAAGTAATTCACACAAAAATGGTCAGCCAGAAGTAATGGGGCAGAGATTCACATCCAGGTACTGGTTCCCTGGAGCTACTCTGTGCTGAAACAGTTCTTTGTTGTTTGGAGGAAGTCTTTAAAGGATATGTACTGTTCAATCACTAGAGGACCTTGGCTTTGGGTACAGAAATTTTCATAGCCTCAAATATAAAATATAGTATATCACTTTCATTTTATATGATTTATTGGACCCAAGAAAATTAATGTACTTATCTAGCTCAAGATTTATATTCCAGCTGGTCTTAGTATTGCAAAAGAAACCAAGTTTGAGAGACTTAACTTTTATCTTCTTTGTCACTTGTTTGATTTTTTTTTTTTTGATTTTGTTTTTTTGAGACATGGTCTCGGTTTGTAGTTCAGGCTGGACTTGAACTCACTGTGTAGCCCAGGCTAGCCTCAAATTTGCAGTTGTGATCCTCCTGCTTCAGCCTCCCAAATGCTGGGATTACAGATGTGTGGCACCATGCCCAACTGTCTGATGTTTGTAAATAGTTGACAGCTTTCTTGAGGAGGAAACTTCCAGAGTCTGTTACGGTAATTAAAACAACCCAAACTGGGGGCCTGGCTTTGGGAGAGAAATCCTGATTAGCAAATATGAAGTTCTTGTGAAGGGATTTTTTTTTTTTTTTTTTCCCTTCGGAGTGGCACCAGGTTTATTGGCACTGCCTCTAGAAGAAGGCGTTGGGCCTCTTGGTGGTGAAGCAGGGCTTGTGCTGGCAACGCAGGACCCGGTAGGGCAGTGGGAACTTGATTCTGGAGTTGTGGAACTGCTTGACAGCTGTCCAGCAACACTTGCTGGCTGTGATCTTCTCCACTTTCATGATCTGGATAGAGTGGGCACGGTCTCGGTGCCGGACGCCCATGTCCAGGTAGCACTGGGTGACGGCACCTGCTGTGGTCAGGTCCCGGTACTCCCGGTACATGTTGTGGGTGCCATTGCGGGCCTCATAGCGCAGCCAGATGCCAAAGTTCTTCACCCGCAGTGGAGAGTTCTCAAACACCTTCCCACAGTAGACAATCTCCCCTAAAGATTTCTTCATCTTCAGCTAGAACACGAAGTTCCAGAAACGGGACTTGGAGATGACATGATTGGGTACAAAAATCTGCATGTGGTACAGAGGCAGCGTGTGGCACTTTGGGGTGGGTAGGCAGCGCCCTACCACCTTGTATTCCTGGAATGTGCCCAAGGCCTTCATGGCACTACCTTCTCGCTTGCTGCCACCCACAAAAAGGAAGTGAAGGGATTTTTCAGAGCTAAGTAGGGAGAGACAGTTGACTATATTTGCATGTTTGTGTAGGTAATACATTCTTTAGGGTTATAATGTTTCATTATGAGCCATGCCTCTACCACACATAAACTGATTTTTTTCATCACTGATAGGAAAACCTTAAAAGGAGAAGCTTTGAAGGTGATGGGTTGAGTGACTTTTCATGCCCTTTTTGCCTCATGGTGGTCTCAGGGTTTCATAAGAGACATTCTTCCATTTTTAAATTTTTTTTTATTTTTTGATACAGGGTCTCCCTATGCAGTTCAGACTCATTGGTGATCCTCCTGTCTCAGCTTCCCTGGTGCTGGGATTACAGGTGTGTGCCTCCATGCCTGGTTCCAGTGCTGGAGCAGAGCACCAGCATGGCAGGCGGTACTGGGAGTTGAGCTTGTGACTTTACACTTGCCAGGCAGGTGGTTATGCTGCTGAGCTATCTCCCTAGCCCTCTTCTGTATTTTTAAGCGTTTTAACATTTCAGATGAGATTGGGCCAAGGTGGTATAGCCATAAATGTATTTTCAAATTTGAAATTTCAATTTTATTTTATCATTTTATTCAGGAAACAGGCAGCTCTTTTTTTTTTTTTTTTTTACAGAGTTCTGTAATTCTGACTTTTGAAAATTTTGTGTTACTTTTGATGCATATTATAATAATTTTCTTTGGCTGAACTAAAATTACAAAATACATGTACAGTTTTTTTTTTTTTCTTTTTTTCCAGTACTGTGGTAGGGATTGAATCCAGGACCTTTAACTGAGCTACATTATAACTCTCCATCTTTTTGTTTATTTTGTTTATATGAGGGTTATGTAGTTCAGGCTGCTTTTGAACTCATTGTATAGCCCAGACTGGCCTTGAACTTTTGGCAGTCCTGCCTTAGCCTCTGAAGTGCTGGAATCACAGGAGTGTGTCATGATGCCTAGCCGTAGCCCCACCTGTGTTTTTTCCCTTTAGTCTTTTATTATTTATTTTTGAAATTTTTGTATATTTTTTGGTTTCTTTGGAGACAGGGTCTTGCTATATGTAGTCAAGGTGAGCCTTGAACTCTCTGTGTAACTTAGGCTGGCCTTAAACTTATCTGTATCCTCCTGCCTCAGCCTCCTGAGTGCTGGAATTTCAGGGTGTGCTACCACACTTGACAGCCCTAATCATTTTAAATGATTTTTTTAAAAAAAATTTGAGACAGGGTCTGGCTCCGTTGTCTGGGCTATCTTTGAATTTTCAGTCCTCCTGCTTTAGCTTCTCAGAATGTTGGGTTTACAGGTTTGTGGTACTATGTTCCTCTTATTTATAGGCTTTAACATGTTGATGACAGAGCTGTAGTTTGTATGTCTTGCTTTCACGTGGCTTTAGCCACTAGTGACACATACATGATTATCCTATCAGGTGTCTTTTTATTATTTTGTTAGGAAAAAGATCAATAAAAGTGATTAGCTCTGAGGGGATAGTCATACGTGTATCACTCATGGTTTAAGCAGGCAGAAGTGTGTTAAGGCTCCCTCTTTCTTTCTTTCTTTCTTTCTTTTCTTT